ATTCTTTCAAGTGGTTTATCTACGATGATGATGACTTTAAGGGTTATTTGTTTAAAGAAGTTTTCAATCATTACTGGTTTGAGGAAGAAATGTCTCTTGGTCAATTCCTAATGGAATATATCATTTCTATCGATACCAATACTTGTGGTATTTCTAGTAACGGTTGTGATTGAAAAACTACTTCTTCTTTAAATAATTTTACAACCATTCAGGTAGATGATAGTTGTTGCCGAAGTGGTTTTCTTGATTCTAAGGATAATGAGTTAAACTCTTACTCTAATTTTTTTTTTTCTAATAGTCCTTTATCAGAGGTCAAAATTTCTGAGGATAAGGATAAATTGTATATGAGTTTAGATCCTGGCTTCGATTGAGAAGCCATGAGGTGTAGAGATTGTAATTTTATATATTGTAGTTGTTTATATACTATAGATGATTTAATGTATAATTATTGTGATTATAGTCAGAGTTTTACTTCTTATTCTGATAGTGATTATAGTAATTAATAAATTATTGGGTAGGAATTTGGGCTTTGCCTTCTTTCTCTTTTTCTACTTTTTCTTTGAAGTCTTTTCATAGTTCTTGTTTTGATTATATTATTAAGTTGAGTGATATATTTTCTTTTTCTTCTACTTGTTCTAAGTGTTGTGATAGCCAGTCTGCCATTGTATTATCTTTTCCAGGTATTCATTCTATTGTATACCTTATGTCTTGTAATTCTATCAACCATCTTTCTATAGTTGAGTTTCTTTGTGTTTTTCCTTCTTTTAAAATTGTTCTGGTATTATCTGTTCAGACTATAACATGTCTTGTTCCTATATATAATTTCTATTTTATAAGATATGTGTATATTGCAAATATTTCTTTTTGTGTACTTCCCCATCTTTGTTAAGGTAAGGTTAAGTTTTGGGATCTGAATTCAATTACTTCTTCTTGGGATTTTGTCCAATAATCTTCTTTATCTTCAAGTATTCTCATTTTAGTTTTGTAATGCATTAATTCAGGATTTACTTGTTTAAGTACTGTACCTATAGAGCTATCTAACGCATCTGTTTCTATTATTAATTAGTATTCCGGTTTAGGATAAGTTAACGCTATAGTGTTTTCTACACAGTTAATAAGTTGGTCGAATGCATTTTGACATTCTGGTGTCTAGTTAAATGGTATATCTTTCTTTAAGAGGTTGTATATTGGTTTTGCAATTTTTTAAAAGTCTTTAATAAATTGTCTGAAGTAATCTATGTATCCAGTAAACTGTTATACTCCTTTTACGTCTTTTGGAATTTTTAATTTTTTAGCTTTTTTTTTTTTGACTTGGTTGGATTGTATTTTTCTGTATGAGATTAAATAATTTAAAATTTTTGTTTCTGTTAAGCAAAATGAGCATTTTTCAGGTTTTAATACTATGCCCACTCTTTTTATGCTCTCGAATACCATTTTGAGATTTTTATATAATTCTTCTGGGCTTTGTGCTAATATTGTTGCATCATCCATATATACTGCTACGAATGGTAAGTGAGAGAAAATTTTATATATATATCTCATCATATATGCGGATGCTGTTTTTAGTCTCATAGATAGTACAGTTCACTTATATTTTCTTTTAGTTGAGAAGAATACTATTGTTTTATCATATTCTTTTTCTGGTAAAGGAAATTGGTGATATGCTGTTTTAAAGTTTATTGTGGCATAGTATTTATACTGCACTATTTTTTGTAAGAAGGTGTTTATATAAAGTATTTCAAAAGGGTTGTCTTTTGTATATTTGTTCAGTTTAGTATAATCACATGCTATTCTATAACTTCTATCTTGTTTTTTGATTATCACAAGAGGTGATGTCTAGTCAGATGTTGATAGTTCTATATATTTATCTTTTATTAATCTTTCATATAATTCATCTGCTTTCTTTTGAGCTTCTGGATCTAAAAGTTTTGATCTTATTCTTGATTTTTCACTTCTAGGTATTTGATCTTTAGATATATTAAGTGGTAAACTTATTGGTGTAAATTCTTTAGAATTGAATATAGTTGCTTCTTTTGGTTTTATTCTGAATACTGTTTTCACATATTTTTTAAACAATGGTTCAAACATTTCTCTATACTTCGGATCAGTATTTTTGATTAATATTTTTAATCTTTCTTCATCATTTTTCTAGTCATCTTTATGCTGTTTATGTTAAAAATCGAAGATTTCTATTACTTTTTCTATATTTCCTATATGTGTTTTTCTAGATATTCTAATTGGCTTATTTGTCAAATTAAATATTTGTATTTCTATTATCAAATCTCAGATTAATCCGTTTTGGATAGTTAATCTGTTTTGTGCAATATGCACAGGTATTTTAATTAAATGTTCATTTCTTTTTTTGGGATTTATTATTTCTATTGTTTGCTATGTAAATGGTTTGACTATTAATTGTTTGTTCGTATAAATGGGTTGGCCTTTTCCTATTGTAGATATTATATGCCATCTTATTTCATTAGGTATGTACACTAAAGCTTTGTGCAATTTTATAGTTTTTTTATTTATTTTGATTGGTTTATATTGCAGTTCTATAGAATCTAGTTCTATATTATATCTATATATAGTTCCTCTTTTTTTAGGAATTGGTGTTGATGCTCTATCAGTTACAAGTTTTAATTCTGGTGGCACTTCTATTGATTCACTTGGTGATTTATTGGGTGATTTATAATCAGATTCTTTCAACTGTTGGTCTACTTCAGCCATCATTTCTTCGAAAGGTTTATCAAATGCATCTATTTTTAATCCAGTTTGTTCTTCAATGGTTGGTTCACTTTGTTTTTCTTGTTGTTTAGTCATTTCTTGCTCATGTCTTTTTGTGAACAATATTTGTCATTGCCGTTTAAATTCATCAGATATTGATGGTACTGTAAATTCGTTGTTTTGTAGATTGTCTATTTGCAATGTCGGTTCTTGAGCCAGTTGGGTTGTTGCATTATTTTTTAATGCAGTTTTTCATAGGTCTTGGTTCAAATCTTTTCAAGATAAGAATAGTAATTTTGATACATAAAAAGATACTGTTTCTGAGAATCGTTTTATAGTTGATTTTGGTAAGGATAGTACTATGGTTATTGGATGTGGTGAAGCATCTGGTAATTTCATATTTTCTAAATCTATTGATGGTGTTTTTGAATGTGAAGATGTTATCTGTGGGGTGTATCATAGTAAAAGTGGTGGTATATATATATCTTGAGTTCTACTGCTTTTTCCTAGATTCAGGTCAGATATATTATGTTCTTCAGTATATAATGTTTGGTATTGACTTGGATCTATGATATCTTGGTTTTCATAATATTGCTTAAAGAACTCGTCATTCTTTTGTTGGTATTCTTTATCTGATTTTTTACTGTTTAAGTCTTTATCTTTTATAATATTGCTTTGTTCTTGTTGTTATTGTTGTATTTGTTTTATATGGTCGAATCTTTTTGTTTCTATCATTAGATTGTCAAAGTACCTTTGTCTCGCTTGTTCTCGTTTCTTTGGATCTCTACTGCTATTTGATTCACCTACTAGTTGTTGCATAACTAGTTATTTATTAGCTATCGGCATATTTACAAATTGTGATGGTTGTATTTGTATAGCATCATCATATATATATTGGTAATTTCTTTCTTGTTCTGCTATTTCATTTTTATAATACTGTTTGGTAAGTTCTTGTTGTTCTTTATGCCAATTTAGAAAAGTATAAATCTTTTCTCTAGGTGTTTCGTTATCTTGTATTTCTCGTATCTCTTGTGGTAGAGTTGGTATAGTTTTTATCTGTTCATATACTTCTTCTAATTTAGTTTTTGGCATCCTTTGGATCGCTTCATATTTATTTTCTATATTGGTTATTTCTACTATTAGTACTTCTAGATCTTTTATAAATTGTTTATTTT